TGATCGATGACCAATTGAATCAGAATTCGGTAAGACTGATTTCTCTTGTTTGTTCGTTGCTATTTGCTTTCTTGTTCTTTTAAAATTTTTAATTATTTAATTTTCCCACTCCATTATATTATTCATTCGGCTGAGAGATTATTGTTTAGCTCCCTGTGGGATTCAACCTAGTACCACTTTTACTGCAAAAAATTTATTGTGGGACTAGCACTAATTTTGAGGGCTTTGACAACCCGTCAAGTAGCTAGATCAAACGTTGAAGCTGAGTATAAGGCTATAGCTCATGGAGTTGCTGGCACGAGCTACTAAAATACTTTGGCTCAAAATTCTCGTAAGTGAATTGGGGATAAGGAGGCTTTCAAAAAGTATTGGGTCTAAGGATGACTAGACCTTTGAAGTTATATTGTAACAATCAGGCTACAATTAACATTGCAAATAATCCAGTTCAACATGATAGAACAAAGCACATTGAAATTGATGAACACTTACAAGCCTTCTACAAGACACCTAGTGGATGTGTTCACCAAGGGTATTACTAGATCAAGATTTTTGGAGCTTCTATGCAAGCTGGCCATGTTAGATATCTATGCTCAGCTTGAGAGGGAGTGTTGTGGACTTAACAAAATGGGCTTGGCCCCATTATATTTCTATTATGTATTTGTTTCTTATTACTAGGTTTAATGGGCATGGGCTTATTATGCCACCTAAGCAAGGGCACACTTGTCAATCCTTGTATTTGTGTAGTGTTTTTTTTTTATCAATAACAATTTCATTAATTCACCAAAGAGATCACATAAGGAAGACAAACACACTTATCTTCCAAGTACAATAAAGAAAACCAAAGAATAGGTGGAGACAAAAAATAACAACTTAGCCCAAAACATTGAATCCCTTTCTACCCCTTATTTAGCTAAACCATCAGCTAGAGAATTGGTTGATCTTTTGACCCAGCACATTTTAACTTCCAAGGATGACCCCATTCTCATCCCTAAAGACACCCCCAATCCCTGATTGTCCAGGGTTTCCCATACTACTCCCATCAAAATTTAATTTCATGAACCCAGCAGGTGAAGGTGTCCAAGACACACTCATCACTGACTTGGTCTGTGTGCTCTTTGCTATTTCACCCCACTTCCTCAACATGCCATCCATTGTGTAACCTGTGAATAGTTCCGTAGATATTAGCCACTGTACAACCCTAAAATGAATGATAGCCTTTAGTTCTTCCACCCCTCTCTCAGCCGCTGAGAATATCCGAAAGTTTCTTTCTTCCCATATTGTCCAAGATACTGCATCCCTCAAACCTCTCAACATAGTCCTTCCCCTTTTCCTACACCACCTGAAGCCAGAAGGGGAAAAAAGGCCCTGCGGATCTGATGGAGGGTTCCATCTACACCCAAAGAGGGTAAAGGCCATTCCCAAATTGACCTCGCAAAATGATAAGACACCAGTAGGGAAAAGCCCATTCCCAAATTGACCTCGCAAAATGATAGAGGGGACCTCATGAGGAGGACTGATGGGGTTTTATCGGAATTGAAAGTAAAGTTGGTAGAGCTGCTTAGTTTGTTAGCTCCCTGCATAGTCTTTGGTTTCATAAAAAATGGAAAGTATAAGGCGAAAGCTTTTGTTTCTAAGAAATGAGGACTTAGCTTTCTAGAAGAAGAGGACTTAACTTTTTAGAGGAGGAGAACTTAGCTTTTTGTAGCAATTCCCATAGATGGCGCCAATTGATGAATCAATTTTTATTGATGTATCGATTTTTTGGATAAGTACCTCATCAGTGACGTATGCTCCCAAGTGGCTTGTGACTCAGAGGCTGAAGTGGAGCTCCCTAATAGCGAGTTGTCTGGTGGCGAGCTACCTAGTGGCAAACTGCCTAGTGGTGAGCTCCCTGGTGGTGAAATGCCTGGTGGCGAACTACCTTGTCTAGCTGCTTGGTGGTGAGCTGCCTAGGGGCGAGTTGCCTGGTGGCGAGCTGCCTAGTGGCGAGTTGCATGGTGTTGAGCTGCCTAGTGCCGAGCTACCTTGATGAGGTGTCGGGCTGACCAGGTGCCAAGCTGACCAGGTGCTGAGCTACCGGGTGACGAGCTAGATTGATGAGCTTCCTTGCTCTTTAGAGACCTGCAAGGAACCAAATGTCAGAGGATCCGGGGTGGCTAACCCGGCGAGGTCGCTCCGATGCTTAATTCAGTACTCTCATAGTAGACTGTGAGCTAAAAAATCATAAAGTATGAGAACTATGATATGCCTACTTGCTTACTTGCTCGCTTCCCTCTTGCCATTGGGGTTGGTGCCTTTATATAGGCATTGTTTGGCGTGGGCTTCACACACCACATTCGAGATTTCTATAGGGTCGTTTATGTGGTTCGAGATTCCTAGAGGTAACCACCATGCACATTGACCACCCTCTGGGTCGTTCGACTCATGGGCCAACTTCCAAGGAACGTGGGAGTGTTAGGATATGCATGCCGAATTTGTCGGTGATCATGTCTTGCAGGTCACCAGGTCGGCGCCTGTGCCAGGCCGCCAGGTCGCGCCAGGGCCAGGTCGTGCTAGGGCTAGGGCGCCAGCTCGTGCCTGTGCTAGGCTGCCAGCTCGTGCCAGGGCCAGGTCGCGCCAGGGCCAGGCCGTGCCTGTTTCAGGCTGCCAGGTGGGACACCATCAACTTGGCTAAGGCAAGTTGTTGCCAGAGTGGTTATGGGTGTCTCCTAGTTGTTCTGAGGTGCCATGTGTCACAATATCATTGGAGGGCCAAATCTGCCCTCATCAATAATCATAGGGGGCGTTTTACAACATGAATACTTTTGTTTTAATTTGTTTTTGAAATCGTTACATTAACAAAAAAATACAAATTAAAAAAATGTTTTTGAATTCTGCTCTTGTTTTGGAAAAGAAATACAAATCCGCCCTCATCATTTGCCCCCCACTCCCAAGCCGAAAGTAACTCAGTGAAGGGAGTAGATTTCTCCTTTTGGTCCGGAATGAATAATTCGATGAGCTCGTAAGCGTCGATTCAATGCCTTAGGCTCTGGGAGCGACTCACAGTCCGCTCCTTGATTTTGCCCATGCTGAAGAGGCGATTGGGTCTTATGTGGTGAAGAGGTCTTCGCTAGTTCGGTATTTTGTCCCTTAGGCTCTGGGAGCAACTCGTAATCCACTCTCCTTGGTATTTGATTTTGCCCATGACGAAGAGGCGACTGTGTCTTATGTGATATTTTAGCCCATAGGCTCTAGGAGCGACTCATAGTCCACTCTCCTTGACTTTTCCCATGCCGAAGAGGCGACTGGGTCTTATGTGATATTTCAGCCCATAGGCTCTGGGAGTGACTCGTAGTCCACTCTCCTTGACTTTTCCCAAGCCGAAGAGGCGACTAGGTCTTGTGACGAGGAAGCCTCTTATCAGTTCGTCAATTCGCGCCTGGCCAAGCCGCTAGGTCGGCGTCTGCCCCATGTCGCGCTAGGTTGGCGCATGTGCTAGGCTGCCAGACCGCCAGGCCGCGCGCTGGCCGCCTGGTGGGTGCCTTAGAGCTATGATTGTGCTGCATCAGCCTCATAATGTCGGTCACCACTCCTACAAGAAACTACTAGGAGCTCGACCTTTGGGGGCAGCACTACTAACTTTGGATCGCCAGCTCACACGGGAGCCTTGGAAGGCTGGACCAACAAGGGTGCTCATGTAGTCTGCGGGCCGCCAACTCCACGGAAGCCACAAAGAGCTCATCTTTGTAGAGGGGACCTCATGAGGAGGACTGATGGGGTTTTATCTGAATTGAAAGTAAAGTTGGTAGAGCTGCTTAGTCTATTAGCTCCCTGCATATTCTTTGATTTCATAAAAAATGAAAAGTATAAAGCGAGAGCTTTTGTTTCTAAGAAATGATGACTTAGCTTTCTGTAAGAAGAAGAGGACTTAGCTTTTTAGAGGAGGAGAACTTAGCTTTTTGTAGCGATTCCCACAGACGGCACCAATTGATGAATCAATTTTTATTGATGTATCGATTTTTTGGCTAAGTACCTCGTCAGTGGTGTATGCTCCCAAGTGGCCTGTGACTGAGAGGCTGAAGTGGAGCTCCCTAGTAGCGAGCTGTCTGGTGGCGAGCTACCTAGTGGCGAACTGCCTGGTGATGAGCTCCCTGGTGGTGAACTGCCTGGTGGCGAACTACCTTGATGAGCTTCTTGGTGGTGAGCTGCCTAGGGGCGAGCTGCCTAGTGCCGAGCTGCCTGGTGGCGAGTTGCCTAGTGCCGAGGTACCTTGATGAGGTGTCGGGCTGACCAGGTGCCGAGCTGACTAGGTGCTGAGCTGCCTGGTGACGAGTTAGATTGACGAGCTTCCTTGCTCTTTAGAGACCTGCAAGGAACCAAATGTCAGAAGACCCGGGGTGGCAAACCCGGCGAGGTCGCTCTGATGCTTAAGTTAGTACTCTCATAGTAGACTGCGAGCTAAAAAATCATAAAGTATGAGAGCTACGATATGCCTATTTGCTTACTTGCTCGTTTCCCTCTTGCCATTGGGGTTGGTGCCTTTATATAGGCATTGTTTAACATGGGTTTCACGCACCACATCCGAGATTTCTGCGAGGTTGTTTATGTGGTTCGAGATTCCTGGAGGTAATCGCCATGCATGTTAACCACCCTCTGGATCGTTCGGCTCGTGGGCCAACTTCCAAGGATCGTGGGAGTGTTAGGATATGCATGCCAAATTTGTTAGTGGGCACGTATTGCAGGTCGCCAGGTCGGCGCCTGTGCCAGGCCACCAGGTCGCGCTAGGGCCAGGCTTCCAGCTCATGCCAGGGTCAGGCTGCCAGCTCGTGCCTGTGCCAGGCTGCCAGCTCGTGCCAGGGCCAAGTCGTGCTAGGGTCAGGCCGCCAGGTCGCGCCTGTGCCAGGCTACCAGGTCGTGCCAGGGCCAGGCTGTCAGCTCGCACCTGGGCCAAGCCGCTAGGTCGCACCAGTGCCAGGCTGCCAGCTCGTGCCAGGGCCAGGTCGTGCCAGGGCCAGGCCGCCAGGTGGGACACCATCAACTTGGCTAAGGCAAGTTGTTGCCAGAGTGGTTCTGGGTGTCACCTACTTGTTCTGAGGTGCCATGTGTCACAATATCACTGGAGGGCCAAATCCGCCCTCATCAATAATCATAGGGGGCATTTTACAACATGAATACTTTTGTTTTAATTTGTTTTTGAGATCGTTACATTAACAAAAAAAAAATACAAATTAAAAAAATGTTTTTGAATTCTGCTCTTGTTTTGGAAAAGAAAAACAAGTTGATTTTGTTTAAAAAAAAAGACATGTTTTTGGAACCAACAAGATATTAGCTTTTAAAACAAAATCAACTTTTTTAGTTATTGATGTAGGCATACATGGCAGGCCCAATGGCGTGGATGCACATGGTAGACTCAGGATGGCGATGCATGGCACAATGCAGATCGCATCCTGGCCATTCGCTCATAACTAATTCCAGGCAAGTTCAGCTATAAATAGGTGGCGTCACTATGAGGTAAGGCATCTTGGCATTTATTTCTCTAAGCTCTCTAACTTTCTGGTGACTTTATTTGAGCTATTCTACTCAGGCCTTGTCCGACTCCTTTACTATGCCCTTGCTAACTTGATTGCCGGAGCGTCCGCCTTGGGATAACACTCAGGGCCTCTGACATGCTTCTTCCTCCACAGGTGTGACTTACAGGCCCTCAGTTCTATCAGCCCTCAAACACATCAACAAATCGTCATCTCAGAAGCATATTTACATTATTGCCCTTAACCCATCCTTGGCAGCAACAGTTATAGATATTGTATGATTTATTGTATATGAAGTTGAATAATGAGATGAAACCATGTTTCTGAATAATCATTACATGATTTCAGTTTTAAAAATAAAAAACAAACACAGCTAAAAACATGTTTTCTTATGTTTTTATTTTATGAAACAATCTGCAATCTGCTTCAAACCAGATGGTTTTGATTTATTTTTGAAAGTGACAACAATGGAAAGATGACAACCTCTTGAACTGAGGGGAGAGAATTGGGCGGATGCTGAGTTGTGCAAATTGTCACGTTGACGGCAAGATATAAGTGGAGGCCCGAAAACGTGGGTTTTGCGGTGCATTCGCACTGAATTTTCACACGTCCATCTAACCCTTAGGACCACAACATACATATTCGGATGAACCCATTGATTAAACGATTGTGATGGGTTCATGTATATCTTTGTCACGTTGTAGAGTTGACTTGACTGGAGAGAGAAAAAGAAACGAATTTCAGTCTAATCCTAGGGTGGAATTAAGATTTTTAGGGTTGGATTGAATCTTTACCGTTAATTGATGT